AGTATCCAATTCTGGAGAGGACTCCGAAGAGGTGGCGCACATATGTATGCAGTTCAGGATCGGAGGACGTAACTCAGTTGCATCTGGCATGTATGAGCACTCCATTAACATACTTAGCATGGGAAAAAATCTATTTTTCAGATGATCTTGTATTTCTGGTACACAAAATAAACATGCATTGCTTCAAAATTAGTAATGGTATATGAAAAAATTTCCAGATTCTTCAAATTTCTAAGTTTTCGCATGTTTCACATGTATTTTTGGTATATATGGTATATAAAAAATCGAATATATGGTGCAAAAAAAATCAAAAAATCAAATCCAAATATAAAAAAAAAAAACAAAAACCATTTGAAAAAAAGAAAATAAGAAAAAAACAGATAGTAAAATGGTATATGGTATATCAAAAAAAAAAAAAAAAATATCAACGAATTTCAGTTTCCCAGATTATTCGGAATTCTGCAAAGAGAAACAAGCAACTGACCTCTTTGGTGCCTTGATTTGGCGTTTTGGCCGTTGCTCCAGCAATACATCATTCGCAACTTCATGTTTTACAAATGCTTTTTTCTTCGGTTGTTTCTTAGGGCTTGTTATTTCGTTCTTCTGGCCCTGTTGCTGTTTTCGCATCCTCTTCGATGGCAACAAATTCAATTTCTGCCCGACTCTTCCTTTGCGTGCGCGAAAATCATCGATATCAGGTGTTAATGATGCGTTTTCCGAATTTTCGCGTCCGGAAGTTGCGCTGTTCTGACTATTGCTCAACTCTTTGCTGAAGGACAAGGACTGCGATCGGGGTTTTTTTGGCTGTGCAGTTTCCACACTTTCCAATTTTACTCGTTTGCCTGGAAATGCGTTTTTTCCTTTTGGCACTCATAATCACTATAATTGCCAAATATTACGAAAAATTAGTATTTAAAAAGAATTTAGAATCATGAATTTGAGATGTACTGAGAATGCGCCAAGCATCAACCAAGATGTAGTCGATTTCATTCTCTTTTATACGTAACGCGTGCCAAGTCCATCTTCGTGAGGCGGTTTTACGGAAGGAAAAACCATTATCAACAGTTTTCACCGTTTCAGCCAGCGTATTACCTTTCTCTTTCTTTTTGCCAGTGCTACATCTAACTCATCCTTCCTTTCTCTTCCAAGCCTCGCGTAAAAATCTCTAACAAAAGTCGCTCCCGCAAATCTGATGATAAATGTAGATTGAAGCTTAGTACAGAGTACTCACATCCATAGGCAAATCCAGCTGGGAAGGGAGCAAGAGGGGAGAGGAGGGAGGAGAAGAGCTGGGTCTTTTACCTCCAGCGGCACATTCACCAGTACCACAAAAGTACGA